TGCCCAACACCGTGAGCGGCAGTCCACATCCTTGCATGTCCCAACGCAGTGGTGCTTGACTGTCAGCCAGGCGTCAGACAACAGGAGAGTCTTGTGCTGGCAGTACAACACACGGAGCTGCAGTGAATGACTCGAGCGGCGACGCATCTACTTGTCGCAAAGCAGTGAAAAGGAGTCGGGCAAAATAATGCCGGCTGCACTCACGACACCATATCCGCAGCCAAAGCATGCGACGTGATGTGTGTTTCACTGGTGCTGTGAAATGCCTGCAGACGACGTCACTAGTGGAGGCATGCCACCTATGATCGGCGAACTGAAAATAATCGGCATGGGAGGCCACAAGAGGCAGCAACAACGCCAGCAGCAGGAGCAGCTCTCTCCCTCTCTCTCTCTGTTGCCTCCAAGAAGTAAACATTCCACCAGCCACAGCTGACTGTGCCATCGTGACACTCCATGCACGTCGTGGCTGCGCCAACACATCCTGTTCCCTGCAGCGCCTCAAAAGATGCCTCACTCCGTCCACTAAGCGCATCGATGTGGGCCGTGCCTCGGCTGCTCGTGAGGACCGCAACGTTGTGAGGGTCACCGAGTCGCAGCATGTTTGTTGTGACGTTGTTGCATGGCACCTGCACACACACACACACACGCAGCGCCTGCATCCCTCCCTTTTGTTTCCGCCCTCTGCCGGAGTGGCCACACACACGGGCAGCAGCAAAATCACTTCACCCTCGACGATCCAAAATCAACACCGACATCCCTCGCGACGCAAAGATCTCGGTTGCCAGCACGGGCTTCCTGCCGCCCTGCCATCGACGCTGAAACACGGCACAGTGCACGCACTTATTTTCCTCGTGTGCGGTCAGCCGTTTGCTTCACACATTCTTCGACGGGCTGACGCCCATAAAAGCACGCCACAAAAGGCCACTGTGATCACACAAGCTCTTGCGATGAGCGTCGGTGTGTGCATGGACCCGCTGCTCACACGTGCTGGCAGGCAGCCTGCAGCCGGTGCCCTCGTGCCAGTTCATCGGCTCCAGAATGGGAAAGAGAAAGTGGCCTATTCCCCATGCACTTATTCCCACCAGCAGCACCAACACGCTGGTCGCCAGCCGTCATTCCTCAGCGCATCCAGGAATGCTGAAAAGTGACGTGGAGCTGCCAGCCAACAATGCCACAATCCCCGCACACATGTCGGCCCCACCAGAGAAGACACACAAATCACAAGCGACACCCTCCACATGTCATCCGAACACCATTCCGACACACCGCGACACGCCAAACAGAAGTATTCGTCACTCCATGCACCTCCCCACACAATCAAATAGTCCACGCACCACGCACGGCAGCAGCTCACACGCACTCAGACAAATGTTATTCGGATCAGTGTTATCCACGTGGTGTGGTGGGAAGTAAACAAAAGACACGGGCTGCCAAACCCCAAAAGAGTGCCACGACTGGCCGCAAGTCAATGGAACGCAGCAACCCAAATGAATTCAGTCCTAATGCCCTCAACCTCCCGCATTCCCCCACTAAAACCCCAAGAGACGCAAAACAAAAACCCCGTCAAATAAAGTCGCTGTGCAACACCAATTGGAGCCGCAGTGCCTCCTGCTGTCCTCACAGTCCGCTGATGACGCCTGGATGCGGATGAGCACCCATCGGTCCTTCCAAACGACGCTGTACACCCGCGACGCATCCTGCGCTCTGAGACACGCGTCCCTCACTATCACCAAAGACACCCACGCGCCGTCCGTACGCAACAAATAGTCAAGGAACCAAGGATGCGTCAGGCTGACAACGAGACACCCGCTAGCAAATCACATCGCAGACATCAACAATAGCACCAGCAGCGCCAAAAGACGCGGGTGAATAAGATCAACAGACTCATGGCGTAGTTGAAGAAAGAACTTGGTGGCGTCACAAAGAACCAAGAGGCTGACACTCTCTCAGCAAGAGAGGAAAAATATAAGAATACAAAAAAGAGAAATTTTAAGCGTCCGCAGTCAAAGCAAGCTAATAACTGAAAAAAGGGTAGTGGGCGCACATAACCACACTTAAAAAAATAAAAAAAACAAAAACAAGAAAGAAAAAGTGTGGGACGACCAGCACACACACTCTCATTGCTCCCGTAAAGCAAAACACACACACACAGGGAGAGAGAGAGAGAGAGGTCGCCCACTCAATGCAATGGAAAAACAAAACAAAAGTTACGGTGCTCCGCCCATGCAGCCAGGCAGGACGGCAGCGCTGCGTGTCGTGCAAAAGAGGGCACCAACGGGCCTGCATGGGTGTGCATGCATATATACAATGGGCACATTATGTGTGTGCTTCGTGGGATGAGGTGAGGGCGAGAGTCCATGCAAGGGGACACACACACAGAGTGGGTGAAAGACGAGTGTGTGTGCGGGCGGTGCATGGCGCTCTCTCACTCACTCTCACGCGGCCACCACCGCAGCCGCAGCCGCACACGCAACAACAACAAGAAGAGGCAAAAGAAAGGAGGTGGCGTGGGAGGCCGCGGTGCTGCTGTCACTGTCGCCGGTATTTGCGGTGGCATTTGTACGAAGGGCGTTTTTATCCTTCGCGGATTCTTCGCCACCTTCCGCGGGGTGTTCATGCTGTTGATGTTGTTGGACTTGTGTTTCATCACTTTGCTGCTGCTTTTCATGATCTTCTTCCTCTTCCTCTTCTTGTCGTGTGTGTTCAGTGCCGGATGTCGCTCCTGCCGGTATTTCGGGTGGCGAGGAGTTGTTAGCCGCTGCTGCAGCAGGCGTCTGATCTCCTGTTGAAGAGTCCCCTGTTGTGTTAGATGGATGACTGCCTGAGGACTCCGCCTTACCATCACCGCTGCCAACTGAAGAATCAACAACAGGAGCAGCTGAAGGAGGAGCAGCAGGAGGAGCGGGAGGAAAAGCAGATGAGCCAGAAGAAATGACACCGGTGCCTTGACCTCCAGTAGGAGGAGCAGAAGGACCAGCAGCAGGAGAAACATCTTCTCCAGCCGAGGCTTCGACGGCAGTAATGGGCAGTACTGACCGCAAAGGCACCGTAATCGCAGTTTTATTACATCCCTCAGGCATGTGGGATCCATTCTCACCCAACACTCCCGACGCCATGCAGCCACCCACTGCGTTGGTGTCGACATCCCTCGCATAAACACCGCCGGCACCGCACCACAGCACGCAGAGGGCACACACCAGCAGCACACGGCCAGTCATCATCATCGCCATCACTCCTGTCACTTGCGTGTAGCCTTCAGCACAAACTAACTCCCCGTCAACGCAGAATGAAAGCAAAAGGAGAGACAAGTCACGCAACCACGCACCGTCCCATCCAGCAATGAGAGTCACACACCACCACAACAACAATTGGGTGGGCGCGGTTAACAACAATCAAAACAAAAGAGGAGCGCTCCTCGCCGTGCACCGTTCCTCACACTCCCACAGTCACCATTACTGTTATTCCCTCTCTCCTCAGTCCCTCACAGGCACGCCACGCTCAATCCAACACGCGCCCCTCCCAGCACAGGCAGTCCGTCATGCGCTCCCGCTGCGCCGCAACCACATGCGGATCAGGTTGGCCGTCATGCACTGCATCTCGTTGTCCTCCTTGTACATGAAGCAGACCCTCAAATCCTCTCAATACACGGCATGGGAACTGCGAGAGGCGGCCGAGAGGTGCCACTTTTGTGAAAGAACACAATGTACGGAAACAACGGCCACCCTCACTCACTCAACTCTCCCGCACACAAGGGCGGTGCCATGGCGAAGAGAAGCCCGCCGCACAGCACATGCACAATGACACATGCAATAGCCGTGCCACCGACGTCGCACCGCAGGATAGAGCCATGCGGACAGCACAAACACGGCGGCAACGAGAGGGACGGGGCACATCCAAGTGCATACCGCAGTCCTTCACTTCTCCCTTCACCGGCGGGTTGGCGTCCCACACTGACAAATGAGGCACGGCGCACACCATCCGCTCCCTCCGAGTGCACTCAGCAGGCCGGCGCCCAGTCACCCTCCTGCCATCGCAAAGGGGAGCACAAACAATCGTCGTCGCGGACCATCAGTGCCTCTAGCGGAGAAGAATATGAAATAAGGGCGTGTCAAAAGCACAGCCAGCAGAGGGACAACAAAAGAGACACAGTAACACAAGGTGACAGCGGACACGGTAACTACAGAAACAAGCCGCAGGGATTTTAAAAAAAAAAGGAAAAAAAAGGGGTGGAAGTCCGGGATAACTCCCAAAAACAAAAGAAAAAAATAATGAAAAAATTGATGCGGCAAGACTTTTATTTCATGTGCCGATCAGCACAACAAAACGACCGTGTGTTTGTGTTTATACATATCGCCCGCACCAGGAAGGAAGAGAAAAACCAAATTAAAAAAAGAAATTGCACTGTCCCACCAGCCCACAAAACATCCCTCACATTTCATGCAGCAATCGGCCTGTTCTTCCAATTCGTGTTTCGTGCAGTCCGTGGAACGCGCAGCCGAAGGGCCGGCACCGCGTGTGGGCTACAAGAAAGCAAACAAGAGAGGGAAACACGTCGCTCATGACGGTGCGCAGCAGCCAAACACCACGTAAAGCAAAAACAAAACTAGTTATTACTCCGGCTGAACTACATTAAAAAGAACACTGAAAAGCAAAGACATTGAAGAACCAAACGAGCAGTAAAATAGAATTAAAACGGTGGTATAAAAAAGGACGGGCAATGCGGCATGTATTCTCCGTGAGGAGTCGCAGATCCACACTCCGTGGCTCAGAAGACTGCCACCACCCAAATACAATCCCAGTAGAAGCAGCAACACACACGACACGCACACACGCACGGTGTTGTTACCTCTTAAATCACGCAGTATCAATTTCACGTCGTTGAGAGAGGCGAGGTGGTCGT